AACAGCAGACAATTTTTTTCTTCATCTTTTAATCACTAAACGAAATGTTACATAAAATGAAACCATCTGGTGGTGAAACGGAGTTCGCCCGGTTTGCTAGTATCTATATAAAATGATTTTATCAAAAACATCTATTTTGGTAAAATTATTTTACACATTTTAGCAATTATTAATAAGCATTTTATACCTCTCTAACGTAACTCATATAGAAAAGTAACTAATATAGAAATGAATATTTCCTTTACCTGATGTTGCTTGATATTAACTAGGGTTTGTCGGTTTTCAAAAACCGGTTTTTTGGCCAAAATTATGAAATTCGAAAACCGGTTTTTCAGTAGAAAAAATCGGTTTTCACTGTATAAATGAAAAATGACAAATATAGCCAAATATACTAGATGTAAGCAAGCGTTTTGATTCTTGGAATCATATTGCTTCAATAGCATTTGCAATCTTAACACTCTGCTATGGTTCCCAGATAGTTTTTCTGTAATCTTTTGTCTAATGTATATATTAATTTAGATTTTCATATCAGTGTATATATTAATTTAAATCAGCGTGACTTCTTTTTGAAGAAGTAACTTTCTCTAATCAAACTTCAAAAAAAAGAGTTTTTAGCCCTAGAAGCCACAAATAAAAGAACAAAAACAATATTATATGAGGCTACAAAAACATTTTCTATTTCAGGCAATTTTGTGAATAAACAAAGGACACATTTAAGTAACAAATCGATAGACGTTCTTAGTTTTTTGAAATAATATTTTGTTGAACAAAAAACTAACTAGAATTTTTAAAATTAATTAATTAAAATTGCCCGGAATAGAAAAAACTCGGAGTTTAGCTTAATTGTCTTTAAAACTAAAATTGATATTAACAAGCACATATTAACATGTATCTAATTTTTTTTTTTAATTTGATAATGTATTATTTTTATTTATTCAAAAACATTCCTATCACTATTATAAAAATACTTTTATTCTTATAGGTCAATGATGCAAAAATAACGAATAATTATTTTCTAAGTTATTTAATCCAGATAAACTTTTATTTTTTGTCCTACTAATTAAAATTAAAATAATTTTGTTTACTATCCGTAAAATTGAACAATAAATAAATTCAGTTAAATAGTGATTTAAATCGCACTAAATTGACGGATACATACATTATTATTACAGATATTCGAGCAAAAATTTATTTTCTATATAAAATTCGAAAACCGGTTAAAACCGGTTTTTTGGTAAAATTAAAATTCGAAAACCGGTTTTCAGAAATGTCGGTTTTTGTATAAACCCTAATATTAACTGAACCATGTGCATTGGAATGAATACTGAGTTTAAGTTATATATTGAGTTTTTATAATTTGTCAACTTTTATAAACAAATTTTTGTAATGAAACTCAAACTCGTCCCGGGCCAATGAAATTTTAATATTCTTTGTCCTAACTTTATATAATCATGTCCTAAGTACTTCTTATAAAATCTTACAATGAGGATTAGTGACTTATAATTTCGTAAAACAATGCTTTATAATGTTTTGTAACATCGGGTATTCATGAAAATCATTTTTCTCCTACGCGATTTTGGGTGTCTTTTGTTTTGAAAGTATTCTTGCAGATGGATGATTCAGATATATCTTATTTTAATAAGATGAAAAGGTAATGAAAGATATGATTTAAGGAGATTATTGATTGTAATAAAGATGAATTTGAATTTATTAGTATTCATTCAATATTTGTTTGTAGACAACTTGTAAGAGATAAATTTTCAAGCAAGGGTCTGTACACCTGGATTTCTAATTATACAAAATAAATATTTTTTAAGTTAAAGACAATAAATCTTCTGGAATAAAACTGCACTTAATATTACGCCATTGTTTTGGATTTAGGAGTTTTTGTAATTTTATTAGATTTTTTTATACAAATACTTCACAATTTGTGTTGAATTTATTACTGCAATGTCTATAATGCTGATGAATTTTATATTGACCCAGCAAAGCTCTGAAGAGCTATTTTCACTTGGAACCATATTGTTTTCTATACTTCCAAGTGAAAACCGATATCACTTCTGCTTGACATCAGGCTATCCGAGGCTGATATCGAACTTGTACTTTTAGATTCAAATCCCATACCTCTAATCACTAATCCACGAGGAAGCTATAATACCTAAAATACAAAAAAAAGAGTGCGCGTAAGGTTCACACGCGATTGAAGTAAAACTTATTTGCTACTGTACAAGAAGGCATTTAAGTAAAAATAAATACATCATATAACAATTTTTAATAATATTTATCAGTAATATGGTAACACTCGCGATACACACATTTATTAGTGTCAACCATTATACACATTTATATAATGATAAATTATAAATTTTATATTTATAATAGCATTAAAAATATGTATAATATTTGAAAATAATAATGTAATTAAAGTCATACTTCAAATATGACATGTTCGGTTTGTCATTGTAATTAGCATTTAGAAATGAACGTTCATTAGAGAAATGAAGTAATTGCTGATTAATAAATTCTATAATATTTATTCACACAGTGGATTATGTTAAACAACGCCTAAACAAATATTGTTTTTGCAACTTCAATCATCATGTGATTGTGTTTGAAGAACTGCATGTAATTAAAATTAACATACATTCATTGACTGCTTGTATTTTTTTTACTTTTTCGCTGATGATGAATGATGAATGAAGCATATATTAATAATAAGTGCACATGCATGAATAGACTATATCAAGTTTTATAATTATTATTAGAATTATTGTATTTAAGGTGTTCAAACAATTTATATCTTTTGCAATTCTAAAAATCTGTAACAAAATGCTAAGTATTTTATCAAAGTGACTAATACGGAATGAAATTAATAACACACTACTTAACATTATGCAATGACAAGTTTCAAGGCTATTTTGCATTAAAACGACATTGCTTTTATAAGCAATATATGAACATATATACGTATTCTTATATATATATATATATATATATATATATATATATATATATATATATATAATATATATAATATAATACATTTGTATATTTAAAACTGCCATTGTTTCTTCAATGCGTCTCATTTCGCATTCGCACGAACGCAAATCTAGATATATAATAGATCATGTATATGTGTTTGTGCGCAGTTTTGCCGATTCTCGGATTTCAAGTGAAGTTTTTTTATATAAACTAAGTTTCTTATTGTTAGTTCAGTTGTAATTCATTCGACAATCGAATATTTCTATACAGCAGCATATTTTGAAATGAAATAATCTAATAAAATATAGTTGGACCAACATTTTTTCATTCAGCAAATCGAGTATTAAATGCTGCTTATGAATGAAGGTTTTTCTTTGCTTTTTATTATTTTTTTCTAACTCTACAGGACCAGTATAATGTTTTCAATTCTCTTTATCAGTTGCTATTTTGTTTTAATAAATATATCTAAGTAAGTAAGAATCAATCAAATATAAGCCTTTCTATGATAGAACAGGCACAATTGTCGCCATACGAATTCCTTAACTTGCACTTTAAGAGATATATATGAAATACATATTGACAAAAAGTTTTAGTTTTGTTTTTGCTTTACATTTTATAATGTTTTCTAATAGAGCAGGACTAGACCAATATTCTCAGTTCTGTCGGATAAATTAGTACCCCCAGTGCAATTTTATCAAGAAGAATGTCTACTTAATTAAAAGTTAACCAAAGAATATTGAAAAATAAAATTTTGTTTTCCTTTGTTTTTTATGTTGTCATGTAACAGAACAGGACCAGAACAATATTTTCAATTCTGTCGAATAAATCAGTAGCCCTGCTACAATTTTGTCAATAATAATGGAAAGATATTGAAAAAAACATTTGTAAATGGACTTTTTTGTGGATTATTGGTTAAAGCAATGGAATTTATATCAGTGGTCTCATGTCAAGCAGTAGAGAAATTAGTTTTTATTTGGAAACGTAGATAGCAATATGTTTCCCCTCTCCGAACGTTGTTGCATTTATAGACAAATTTATCAGTATTACAGAAATGGTAATAACAAATTCATCTTAAAAATGGGATAAATGTTGAATTTTCATCTATAAAACGTTGTGTAAGTCAAATCATCATAACAACTTATAGATCCTTCAGTTTTGATCGCTGTTCAATAATTATTATTCTACAAAAGTTAAGTCAGGCAAAATAGTCACCAAGGCTACCTCAACCAAGTTTTTTTTTACGCGGGCCTTAGTTTTATTTTGCCCCATAACCAAGTAGCCATATTCAAATACACAAAATTTAATCAAATAAAAAATTACATAACTGAATGTTACTATTTACATACAGGTATTTGCAGTCTTTGGGTATATAACACACTACTTCATAAATTTATGTTATTTGATATTATATATGTAAGTTATACTTACCAATCAAATCTTGTAAATTGCCATAGAACCGTGCTAATATTTGTAAATATTTACAGATAATTATCACAAACCTGAACTACTGACTACTGACTGAGTACATATTGAAATATTAGCATGAATATATATTTTCCAAAATATTTTAATATTTTATTTAAGAAATACATTAATTAATTATGCACATAATCATAATTTAAATTAATCGGTTTACAAAATATTCTAATTATGCTTAACTATATATAAAATAAAGTTTCTCTTTAAAAAAATTGCTGAACGACTTCACAGGTACAAATATACTTTTGTCTTTGTAATTATTGTAATGAGTACATCTTTTCATTTGGGCGTTATTGGCATGCTCTAAGTTAGTTATAGGTTTTATGTTTAAAACTCTAGCGAAAAGTATTTGTGACATTTTTACACTCCTTATATTATGTCTAATCGTTACAAATTTTCTTTTCCTTCCGTTTTTTAGTGACATCTGAACAAAATACTAATCAATTATGCAAAATGAACTTGATCTAACCCATTTAAGTCATTTGAATTATTTTGTAATATCAGTAATAAAAATATTTATGATTTATCTCTTTTTACAGATGGTGAATTCAACCTAGAAGAAGTTGTTTTAGCGCAGCTTCGTCATGAGCCCCGCCAGGGGGCCCAAGGGGGCTCCGCGCCCCGTTGTCAAGAAGACCCCACTAAAATCTACTAAGAACACTGCTTCAAAACCTGCAAGTTTTAAAGCAAACGCTGGAAAAACTCTCCGAGATAAATTGAAAATCGTTAAGGATCTTACTGAAAAGCTTTGGAAAAATAAACAAAAATTGGCGAATGAAGCATCTAATTTTGGAAAAACACAAATCACTTTGGTCACGGAAGAAAATGAAGAAACTGGTAATAAGGTTGATGTCAATAAGAAAGTTGATAAGAAGATAGCTGCTAAGAAAAATGTTAAAGAAGAATCTACAGTGACGCCTCAAGAAAAAAATTTGGAAACAGAAAAGGGAAACGTTAAGCTACAAAGTGGTGCATCAACTCCTTTGATTATTGAAATTTCGGACGATTCATTAAAAAGTGATAAGAACACACAAGGTAAAAAAGATTCGCCAGTTGACCTTCCAAAAATTAATGTTTCTGACAAAGAGAGTGTAAAAACAACAAGTCAGAAGAAAAATAATGATAAAAAAGTTAGCAAGCCAGTTTCAAAAGTTATTTCTAAAAATTTAGGCTCTAAGAAAAATTCACCTGATTCTTCCAATCAATGTGATCCGAAAAAAAGTGCATGTGATGATGATAAAATTCAGGATTCTACACCAACTAATAATAAAAAAACCAAACCTAAGAAGAATGAAACTCAAAACACTGAAACTAAATCAGTAATTCCAAAAAAGACTCCTAAATCCAGTAACGAGCAGAAAAAAGAAAAGGCAGTAGCAAAAGGATTAGGTTCTAACAATAGTGCCAAAAAGACAGTTAAGAAAGCGGCGACCAAGAAAAGTACAAAAAATATTAATGAAGATGAAGTGCAGAATGATTTAGATAACAAGGCAGACAAAAAAATTAAGAAAAAGACAGTTGCAAAATCTAAGGTACCTCAAATAGTTACAGCGGATAATAATGTTCAAGTTGCTCAATGCAGTAGTGATAAAATATCTAATTTGAATCAAGTTGATAAAACTTTAGATACTGATGCAAAGAAGGATGTTACTACATCAAATGATAATAATTCTCATGCCAAAAATGATGCGACGAAAGAATCACCAACACTTGATCAAAATAGCAAATCTGACACAACAAGCCCGGTGGTCAAAAAAACCGTTAAGAGGTCATATGTTAAAAAGATAGCAACTAATTTGAAATCTGATAACTCTGACAAAACTATCGATACTGAAAAACAACCTAAGCAAAGGAAGCCTAAAACTACAGCAACTGTTAAAACTAAAGGCACTAAAACTTTGTCTACAACAAAAAAGGTAGATACAGAATCTAAAAGTGCATTGGAATCTCTATCCAATGAAGATGGAAAGGATAAAGAAAAACTTAAGCCGGAATTAGACAATAATGCAATTTGCACTCAAATTGAGAAAAAAGACATTACTAAGAAAAAAGCTAATGCCAAGACTAATAAAAATTCTACTTCAGTTCAACAAACTGAAAATAACAAGGATATTTCACATATTGAAACGAATGAAAATAAAGCTTCTTCAATTGATTCTACAAATAAAAACTCTGTTGAAAAGGCTTTAACAGGTGCAGATAAGCCTTCTAAGAAAAAAAGTAATGCGAAAGAAACTGCTTTGAAACCAAAAGGTGCTACAAAACCTAAATTAGTCAAAACTAAAAATCCCAAAACTTTAAAACTTGATTCAGAAAAAATAAACGCCTTTGCAAAAGCATTAAAGATGACTATTAATCAGAAAATGCGCAAACAAGATGATTGCAAAACCGACGAAGTGCCAACTGATAAGCAAACTGATCAGCAGAATGATTTGCCCGAAAAATCTGCGAAGAAAAAGAAGACTGTGAAGCCTAAGGATTTAAAAGATGTAAGTGATGATAATAAAAAACTTGAAGACGAAGTTAAACTTAACGAAAACATTGAAATGCAGAAAAAACAAGAAAAATCTGATGTTGATAAATCAAATGAAAATGAAAAAACTGGTGGTAAAATTGTCAAAAAGAAGTTGGCAAAACCTTTGGATAATGAGAAAACTTCAAATAATTCTTCAGAAAATAACTCTAAAAAATCAGTTAAAAAACCAAAAGTCAATCTAAGCAATCAACATCCAATTAAAAGGCTCAAACATGTAGCCAAAAAAGTCAAACCATCGCCGAATCCACTGAAAAAGCGTTCTGAAGGAGTACAATTGAAAAAACACGCAAATGCTTTGAAACGTGTTGTTAAAACAAAAATCGGCCTGAGTGATTCTTGCAATTTAACGACTATCAAATTAAAACTGAAATCAAAGAAAAATGCCAATGCCAATGAAAAGAGCAGAAAAGCACAAAAAATTGAGCAGAACATAAAAAAAGAAAAAAGTGATTCTGATGATGCATCTTCAAATGCCACCTGTGACGTTGATATCAAAGAAGTGAAAAAAGAAAATAGTGATCATGAAGAAGAAAAGAAAGATACAAATAATCAGAAAGTTTGTAAAGTAGAAAAACGACGGATAAAACCAGAACCTTCCAAACGATTGAAGAAGTTATGGAATGCACCAAAAGGTAGAAGGGTTGCATCTTTGAATGCGCTAGCCAAAGTACATTGTCTGTATGAAAACGAGTGCAGATCAGCTTTTGAACTAGGTCTCTTAAAGACCACAAAAAAATCTGAAAAACCTGAACCAGAACCTGTGCCAGACGATGTAGACAAGGTAGCTGAAAAAATACCAAGAACTTTAAGGAGTTGCGCCATGCCAAGCGTTGGCAAACATTGGGATATGCATGAGTTATCTTCAACATCAGCATCTTCTTGCAGAAGTGCATCCAGTATAAGTAGTAATTCATCCATAGCCAGTGATTCAGATTGCGAGAGTGTCAAGAAGCCTATTAAAATGATCTCCAAAAATGCAGCTTCTAATAAAGATAATAAAGACAAGGTCGTGGTGAAGGTGAAACGCAAAAGAAACCGTTTGGATGTCACAATGGATCTTAAGGATATGGTAGTGAGGAAGAGGATGGCTTCTTTGAATGCGACTGCGATTTTGGCTGCGAGTTATGAGAACGAAAGGAAATTTTCGAGGAGAGGAAATTTGGGTGGTGATTTGGGGGCTAGCAGTTCAACAAGTAGCAGCAGCTCGAGTATCAGCAGTTCTAGTGATGGATCCTTGGATGACCCCATATACAAAGTAGCTGGAGGTGAGAATACTCTTTGTTCAGATTATCATTAGCCAATTTATATCTATTTTTTTATTATTCTGCAATCTGTTTATTATAAATCATGAATCAGTGACTGCAATATTGATTAGATCTAGTGAAAGAAAGAAATAGGAAATAGGAAAGAAATAAGAAAGAAATTAGTAGATACATTATTTTTATGTAAACACAGCCTTTTGACCGTAAAATCATTCAAGTATCAATCTTTACAATATTTTGTTGATTATCGATAATAATTGAGTATTTTATTTAATATGCTATATTTTGATTATTTTCAGGTACCATAAAATCTGACAAAAATGCAGTTAAAATAGAACCAGCACAAAACTTGGAGGTTTTGGACTCGATCAAGAAAGAAGAGGAGCATGAAGTTTCTCTCATCGTCAATCAGGATACTGATGTCACAATCACAGGTAAGAGAATAGTTTTATTATATAATGATTATGCATGTTTGGCATCAATTTATTAATAATTCCGAAAATACACGATCAAATTTATTATTTTTAGGAAATTACACTTACTTGTCTTTTCTCAATTCTTGTTAAATAATTTTTATATATTTGGAAAAGTTTTCACCAGAAAGTTCGACTTATCAATGTTCGTTTGCTTCACGTTTTATGTCATTCTGAAGTGTTTGATACCAAAATTGGAAAAATTATTTGTATGTGCGCTGAACTTTTACGTTTCGTCAAGGTTTTCTCAAAACGGCTGCACCGATTATAAAAATTTAAAATCATTTTGAGGAAACAAGATAATGTCTCGAGTTGATTGGTTTTGTGCGGTGATCGGCCAAACCATTTCTTTATTATTTGCCGATAAGGCCAACATTTTTGGTCAAAATTACTGAACCGATTTAAAAATTCAATAACTGTTAGTAATAAATTTAAATTATAGTATAATATTAATAATACATTTAAAATTATTAATCATAGTTACATAATTAATTTATGATAAAGATGAGCCGGGCCGTTTCTTCGTAATTAGTTATTAAAATTTTGCATAGTAGCATTTTTCATTCAACAAAACTTCTAAAATATTATAGCCCTACGAAAAATAGTTTAATTATAAAGATTTATTAATGTTTAAAATAATGAGATGCTGTGTTCGTACTGATCACCGTTGACATCCTATCAAGTAAAATACATTTATAGATTATGTAGTAGAATTAACTTAATTAATACAGTTACAGATATTATAATTTTGTTTAAGAGATACCAATTCGAAATCGCATTGATTAGATTTTAATGATAATAGTTTGAAATAATTAGTAGATTTTTTTAACTAAAGTAAATTTGCCTTAAGGCAAAATGCCACTTACGTCTAGTTTTATTAACTAAAAGTAGAGTAAGTTATAGCAATCGCAAAAAAATCTAAAATTAAAATTTTTATATATTTTTACGTTTGAAAGGTTTCTGAACATTTTGGCATACCTTGCAAAAAATTGATGTATGTGTGTGTGTGCGGATACCAATTTTCGTCTACGACTTCGGGAACACAGATTTACTGATTTGAATAATTCAAAAAACATTTAATTCGTATTGAGATCAAATGAAAAAAAAAATAAAAATCCATTTGGAGGTCAAGAATGATAACTAGACTTATGCACATCAAATTACCAGATATTTTATAGAGATTTTAATAAGTAAAAATTTAGTCATTTGCAAAAAGTCACTTTTTTACAAAAATTTCAAAATTCTCAGTAATAATTTATTCAAAGTTTTTAAAAGATTTTAAAGCTTTTTTCAAAAAAATATTTTTTTGGTACGGGAAGTTCTAGCAATTTGCCTTAAGGATGTGTTTTGGATGGCAAAACTGATAGGGTGAAATTAAATTGATTTTATACATTATTATCTGGTAAGTGGTTGGATTAAAAATCTTCCCATAAATATGATTTTATTTCAACTATTTATTTATTATAAATCATTCAAGAATCTCATTTTACATATTCGATAAAAACGTTGAACTATACGCCTCTAACGAAAAATGGTTTTAATAGTAACTGCGAGTTTTCCGAGTATGATGATCGTATTTGACATAAAAGTCGTAATATATTACAGAAGAAAATCGTTTTTCCTATATAACTGTCGTCAGCAAATACTGGCTGGTTTGTGTGGTATATAAATGCTTTTTATTTTGCTTTTCCCAGGCTTTTTGTTTGCGTTTATAATAGTTTTGATAAATCTGTTATATAAAGTTTCGTTTATTTTTTTTTTTTAAATTCAGACATTAGTTATTTTCTTTACGTGAACGAAATTTTTACAATCGAGATTGTATAATTGAGGTTTGACAGAAACTTTATTAGACTAAAAATAGTTTTTTTTTTGTATTACCAATATTGACCAATTGTTATAAATTGATTTTTAGTATTGTGAATATACACCTAAGTCTGTTTTTACACGGAGATTGGTTCCAGAAGAATCCGTGTAAAAAAAAACGTGTAAAAAAAGACATTGATCTTATACAAAAATGGGTGATTTGTTCCTAGTCTCTAAAACCTATTAAAATTGGTGAAAAACAAGAATTTTTAAGATCAAGAATTAAATTAGTGCTATTCACATTTGCTTTGACCAGTAAAAATTGTTTGTACGCGCTAAAGGGGAATTCACTTAAATCTTTAAGCTAATGTTCACAAACTATCGATACTATCGATGGTTTCAGACTTTTTTCTTTCATGAATACTTTTTTGTGATATGAACATACTTCGCAAAAATTTAATTTGACAAAAAAATTTAGGTACATAAAATTTCAAATCGTGCTAAATGGAATAAAATCGTGTAAAAAATTTTAAAATATTCAATTTTCAAACCGTGTTATATCAAAACCGTGTACAAAAAGACCGTGTAAAAACAGACTTAGGTGTATTCTAGTTTCATATTATTAATGCTCACAATTATTTAATTTAAGTTAAAATAAATTATATAGAATTAATTTAAATCTTAAGTATCGGCAGAACTTTGTTCAAATGGACCCGAAAACTTAGTATTAAACTAGTGGGGCGCATGGCATCGTACCTTAAGGCAAATTGCTGGCACTTCCCGCACCAATTTTTTTTTTTTTAAAGATTAACATTTTTGAAAAAAAAAATTACTCTGAAAAATTAGATTTTTGAGAAACTATAAATTTTTGACAAAAATTTTGAAATATTTTGGAAATTCTGAACTTTTTTTCAAAGCAATCGTACTGCTTTAACTGCATAGAGACGAAATATCGAAGCGCGTAAGCGCCGCGCCGCCGTCTAACGGATAATTATACTTATTGTTAAAATCTCTATAAAATATCTGATAATTTGATGTGCATATGTCTAATGAACATTTTTGACCGCCAGGTGGCATTTTTTTTTTACTTTTTTTACTAGATCTCCGAAACCGCTAGACCTGTCTTCATGAAAATTTGATCAGTTCTTCATCTTGTTAATACAAGTAAAATGTTTTTTGAATTATTCAAATCGGACGCCCCGTTCTCTTAAAAACTGAGTTACCGTTTTTGACACTTTTTGCCCCATATCTTCGGAACGGCTAGACTTGCCTTTGCCAAAAACTTTACACATCTCCTTATCAATACGAATCGAATGTTTTTTGAATTATTTAAATCGCTTCATCCGTGTTCCCGAAATCAAAATAATGCACATTTTTTCTAAATAATATTTGCAATGGTTTGTTCAGCTTGAATATCAAAATTTAGTAAGTTAAATTATATAATTTAAAAAAAATACACCTAGTATTATTGGATCAGTGAATAATTTAGGCGTTTTCCATTTGCAATCAGTCTACTGGTTTTCATACTATTTATACTAAGAGGTATTAATATCTGAATAAAATATTTCACATAATCCAAACACACCTATTTATTTTTTATTTCATAATTTTTTTATTAATTTTTTCCATTATTGTTGCAGGTGTATATCTGAATACGACTACTCGGTCAACTCTCCACCGACGGCTGCACCATCACAGGACGGCTTCGGTAATTATGATAATAATCTTATCTGATTTAATCACTGTAATTTGAGACGAATTACTAATTTATCACTTAACGCGTGCCAAGAAAAAACTCTTCATACTAGAAAACAGACAATAATTATGAGGTATTTTAAATTGGTAGCGAAACAAAAACGTTTGGTGTATCGAGGACGGTTTTTTGGAAGATTTTGACTATAATTAGAAAAAATATACAACATTTAGATTTTTAGTTATAAATTTTATGTGAAAATATGCAATTTGCTTTGAAAGCTAGGATTTTTATGTGACAAGGTGGTTAAAGTTTTGGTCTTTTAACTTTAGAGTTTCAAGTTGGATACCCACTTTGGACAGCCTGACTCTATTAGCAGTACCGATATCAGTTTTCACTTGAAAATATAGACCTAACATATTTTTATTAGTGCAATTAACACTTCCTAGTATTGCTACATAACATTAAACATATATCATCAGTACAAGATCAACTATAGTAGTCCTAATAGACCAGGCTTCGAATATAGAAGTCTTCATAACCAGATAGATTAAGCTTTAGATTTTCTCCTGAAAAACGACATTGTTGAAGCAAATATTCATTACAACATCTTATAAAACCGTTCACATAGCTGATCAAATATTAAAAAACAAAGTAAAAGTTTATTTTAGCTTCCGACTGATGGAATTAATTGATATCTTTGCTTTTTAGTACTGAAGTTTAAGTATGAAAAGCTGCATTCAATATTAATTTATGTAAGGTCATTTTTTTGCATGGTTTTATTGTCAATCAAATAATATACATTTTTTAAGACAATATGATGTTGGTGTTAATGCATTTAAGAGATTATCTCATATGAGATATCTCCCTTTTTTATTTTTGATATTTTATTAAAGATCGTATGGCCATTTTTTTTCAATCTTTGTGTAGGATATTCCTCGCTTAACTCTTTTAAATATATGTTTGGGTGACCTGGTAGTTTTTCGTGGTATTTTTTGCTCCTATCTCTTATCATCTCATTAATAGTTTTTATTTTTAGGTCTTTATGTAGGGTGTCATTTGTAACATACCAGGGTGCGTTTACAATGCATCTTAAAATTTTCGATTGCGCTACTTGTATTTTTTTTATATTTGAATTGCTTGCGCACGCCCATAGCTCAATGCCGTATGTCCAGATTGGGATAATTATTGTTTTATATAAAAGGAGTTTGTTTTCATAGCACATATTTGAACTCCTACCAATTAGCCAATACAACTTCTTTGAACTTCTTCTCCATATGAGGTCATTTTTAGACATAATAATTTCACTCGGCATTATTTTTTGCAAATTATAGGATAAAATTAAACATTTCCACAGTCGATTCTACTTCATTTTACTTCAACTTCATTTTACGTTTCATTTATTAACAATCATATTCTTATTAATTATATGATGAAGGACCTATCAATACAATCTTAATTATTTTAATGTCCTCTTTTATAAACGTGATGATGATGATGTTGATTTTGATTTAAAATTTTCAGTCGTCTTCCGTGAGCCATCTGCACCGAAGTCGTTATCACATTTCATCCTCATCGTCATGCAGCAGCAATGGTGTTCTGCTGGAAACAGGTGTGTATAATATATAATATTAATTTTTTTGTCATTTGCTCAAAGTAAAAGTACGAGGACTAGGAAACGTGTATGTTAGATTAAAAATAGGTGTAGGTTCAGCAGACACATTAAGATTTATATAACAAATTTTATTTACAAAGGGATAGCGCGAACAAACATTTTATGATAAAAATAATATGTTTTTTAAAAATTTTAAAATATTGGAAATTTTTAATAAATTTGGAAACAGCGGGTTTCAAAAATTTATATTTTTTATGCAAAATAATGCCAACTTCATTAGTAATTTATATTTATTAATTGAAATATGTTTAGTTTTTTTTTACTGTAAATATTCAACAAGAACATAGTTATTAGTTGTCTAGACCTAAGCTATTTTTGTTATAATGAATTTAACTGTATTGCTAATACACACGAAATGAGTAACTTAGATAGGAACAATGTATGTATTTCCACAATTTTAATGGGTAATTTAATTTTTAATTGAAGGAACTAAGGATGTTTCTGGCTCGGAAAGTTCCGTTGGGGGCAGTTATACTCCTTTGGGCGCCTTATCCAGCATGAGGCCTCCACATAATGCGATCAATACCACCACAATTGCTTCAGGTTAGTAGATTAAATTTTATGTCAAACATAAATATAGATAAATTTTTAAATTGTGTATAAAATTGATATGTTGAAATATGAGTTATGGTTAGTAGGAGTAGAGTAGATAATAATTTGATCAGTATGTTGTTTATGTTGCCTAAAATAGTGTTAAAGTAACGATAATTAAAAGAAATTGCATTTTAAAATTTAGCAGCGAATTACAGATCTTTTTAATCTACTTTGTACTGAACTTGAATCGTCTAGATTTCTTCAGATGACATTCAATTCAACTTTTGTTTAGTTTAGTTGAAAACCATGCAAAAAATAAGAAAACGTTACTCAAGTTATGAAGGCAAACGTAATCTATGGTCCATCAAATTCAAATTTGTTCAAAATTAAGAATAAAAACGAAATAATTTTAAGAAACCTGCATGCTTGATCAGTAAAACATTTCCGGTTAGGATGTTTAGCAATTGGCTGCTAACATTTTCACATTTATGTATCAACGTCTACCAGAAATGTCTAATGAATATATCATTCGTTACTGTTGTTATTGTTATTGACTGTTTACTATTGTTAATAATAATGGTTTGCTCGAAATCAGATTCAGTGAACCTCTGTTCTGGACTTTTTTCCTTCCTGATTATAATTTGTTATTCTATGTTCTACTTTTAAAGTAGCTCAATTTCTTATTTTGTGCCTTATCTTCCAATTTTTTTGTTACATGTTTTATTCATCTTCATTCATTATGAATCCATTCCAGTGTTCCTTTCATTTCATAATCCAATAAGTTTCCTCAATTCCACCCTTCTCGTTGCCAGTCATATATGGACAAAGTCTAATCAATAAAAATATATTTCATTTAAATCTGTACGTTTCAGCTATAATACTAGCCTTCATTCAGGGGAAAATTATCCGATAAGAATCGAAATGTAACATAGTGTTGTTTTGGCAACTGTTTGGTAATTGGTTACGGGCCAATCTTCGTATAAATTGGTAGTAAAAACTACCAAAAAGCTATGTATTTGCTGTTAGTGAAACCTAATCTACCAAAAAACAAACGTCTGCCTAGAAAAAAAGGTTTAATCTTTGGAAATTTTCGAATTTTTTAAATTTAATATTACAATTATTTATTAAAAAGTATTCCTCTTCTCACGTGATTTTTTGTTAAACCCCTCTCTCGGCTTCACGTGATTAATTGTCGCCTCCCCAATTCAGAGTAAAATTAATCAGTATTATTGCTGTTTTTTTTGTAAAATGAGTAATTCGATTGAACCCTCAGTATTTTAGTACTTTTCTGTATTTAAAAAAAGATTGTCAGTATAGTCCAGTCATTTAAGCCTAAATTATGTAAGAATCTCGGAATTCGAGATACCTAGCTGTAAGTTTGTAAATATTTGTATATTGACACCCTAAAGTTGTCTCAAAACCTACATATAGTATTGACACCCTACCATATGTAGGTCTTGAGACAACTTTAGGGTATAAATACTTATATATTGTCACCCTAAAGTTGTCTTTAAACCTACATATAGTATTGACATCCTACCATATGTAGATCTTGAGACAACTTTAGGGTATAAATACTTGTATATTGACACCCTAAAGTTGTCTCAAAACCTACATATAGTATTGACACCCTACCATATGTAGGTTTTGAGACATCTTTAGGGTGTCAATATACAAGTATTTACAGACTTATAGCCTGGTATCTCGAATTCGGAGGTGAACTTACTGTAATGACTGGACTAGTAGTGTTGATCCAGGACAATCATAAATAATCACTTTACTATTTGCTACTCTGCCTTATTTTGCCTGAAATTTGCATGTACAAAGACTTTTAAAACAGTCCTATCTCTATGCAACTGCATTATCTCAAATTATAAATTAATTCACTTCATCCCTCTATTTTTAATTAAATTTTCAGGACCCGGTTCGCCAATCTTAGTTCGTCATACAAGTTGTTCCAGTGCGTTTTCGGCGCCTCCGCACGGCCGGACTAGCAATCACTCAGCGGAGACACGGACCACCAACTGTTCGTCGTCATCGCCAGGTTAGTGGAACCTTTTTATAGTAATGAACGATTGGTGTGATGGTCTTATTTATTTACGCGGTGATCGAGCTTTTTGATATACGTGTGTTTGCTGAATCCCAAATTATTTATTAAAATTATGTTATGAACGTGGGACAACAAGAGAAAAAAGTAGTATTTTTTACAATAAACCAGTACCAAGGGCGCGGTGGGGGGAGGTGGGGGGGTTAAGGTGTGGTAAACTTAGAACAAATGAGATTTACTCCGCATTAGTGTTTTTAGCATATCACAGATGGTGGTATTGTGCTTTAAATTCAGCATTTCTCTGATTATAGTACACGTACTTCAAAAGTCTAATTTGTTCTTATTAAATATTGTTTTAGCAACATATTCGTGATTTTGTTGAAATTATTTTCTATACGTGTATATTTTGTTCTCGTTTCATTCAGTCAAATTAATAAGGTTCATCTTTTCTATATTATATATTTATATAAATCCTATCTAGAATTAAATCTAAGGGTAAATTTACGTGCTACGGTTGGTGCTACATCTATGATGTGCTGAACCAATGAGGTAAAATCAAAACGGCTGTGTTTGCGATCTATTAATACTTGTTTAACTATGATCAGTATCTACTAAACATGAATCCCAAATTCTTTATTTAAATTATTGTTATAAACGTGGATTTCCACGTTTATAATAATAATTTAAATAAATAATTTTGGATTCAAATGTTCAGTAGATACTAGAAAAAGTGGTATCTTCTCACATGGTAACCGACAAGCACTGAAAATTTTGCAAACTCGATTAATAATGCATATTAGAGATTGTTATCAAGCAAATTTTAAGGCGGACCATCCTACATTTGAAATGAGGTTGTTGATGCTCGTTGTCTTTATCTTCTTCATATTAGAATATGCAATATACACAATATTTTATTCCTTATAAACCAGAACCTGAGGATTCAGTCATTAGTGTCCTCTTATTGCTTCAATCACTACAAGTGATATGAAAAACATGTAATTTTCTTGATTTCTATACTATTTTTCATCGCGGTAAGATAATTTTGCTTCGTCCATCTTTTTATTAGCATAAAATGAGAAATATCCTTTTTGATCGGTTAATTTACCTATATAGAGTCAATATAATTTCAATATAATTGTTTCTATGTACGTAGTTATAGAATTTATTTATTAATTGTTTAAACTCTCTTTCGATTAACTCAGGTTGTTGGGTTATAATTTAACCCAAGTAGCTAAATACTGATTTGTTTGTATATTACTTATTTGTTGCAGTTCTTATTACAATCACTGATTTGTCACTAAGTTATAATGAAAGAAGTTATATTTATTTATTATTTATTAAACATCTTGTTTCGCGGGCTTTTCTTTTAGAATTGAACAATTAGTCCTATTAAACTCTCTGCTACCCCCTCTACCAGGGGTAGCAACCATCCCGTGTAAAAACTCAATGCCATGAAGATTTTCACCTTCATGGCCAATATAATAAAACGAAAATACGTCCGAACAATAATGTAATCAAATCAGCAAGCAAAAAATATTGAACTACCGATTAAAAAGAATATTTTTCATGTTATTCCTATTAAAATATAGACAGAGTAAAATTATCTAATCCAGGTGAAAAGTCAACAAAAGAATCATAAAAGTTTTATGTTTTTATAGTACTTGTAGTGATTAAAACAATTAGAAAACACTAATAGCTGAATCCTTGTAAAAGTATTGTAAATATTGGGTGTATTTTCGTATATTTGGGTATATTTTGGTATTTTATAGAGAGTCAATCAATCAATATCTCGGAGATTTAGTTAGATTTGCATCTTTTCTATGTTATAAATCTATAAAAGTTTTCCAAGGTCTTTCAAGGTAGTTCTCTGATGATCTCAAGAGCGGAACGAGTAAAATTGGACTTGGATTTGGGCAAAAAAAGGGAAAAGTTAATAATTTTCAAAAAAAAAAACACATTTCATTGGTTGCAAAAGGAGTATGGATAAAATTGCTAGGGATCAATCAGGCAATAGTTTGGCTTGGCGTTTTTGCAATATGTATATTGGCCTAGTAAAATTGGACATAGCTTATTAAAGATTATAATTAGGTGTTTATATATATTTGCAATTGTGTTGGTTAGAACTATTTCTATAGCTTGTCATATATAAATCTTAAATGATATTTTGTTTAGGCGATTATATCAAATATCATTCTATTTAGGCGATTGTACCAAAATAATCAGCAAAAAGTACATAAATATTTAGATTTAATACGGATACAATAATTATGGCGAATTTGTTCTAATTCATTAAGCTATTGATTTTAGTCAAAAACCTCTGAATTTTATTAGAGATTTGTTGAGAACTTATGGGATACAAATTATGTATCCCATAGCACGAATTTTTGAACTGAACTATATAGAGAAATTTTTGGATTTTTTAATTCATCATTAGCTGGTGGTGCATTAATATCTATATTTCCATTATTAAATACGCATTTATAAAAGTGTTTTATATCACTTATTTTTCTTGCTGCTCTTATACTTTTGTTTAGCACACAAATATTTTACATAATCTTTGATATTAGTTCGCCAGTTAATTTAAGCCAATCAAGTTGTGTTAATTTGCACTCTATTGCATACAAAAGCATATTTTTTTATTAATAATATTCACAATTTTTAAGCCAAATTATTGACTCAATATCAAAGATTTTTATTTTGCGTATCAAGGTACCAATACTCGTCAAGTAACTCATTAGTTAGTTCATTAGTGGTTCTATTCCAATGAAACTTGTACAAAAAAATAACTGAAATTTTTCTTATGAAAAATATTTCACGAATGCATAATATTCTAAAAATATCTTAAAACAAGGTAGTGCCATTTCGTGGGCGTTGTAAGTTTTAAACTCGTATAGAATTTAAAAAATACGCGTTTTTCTATTTTTACAATAGTTTTTATTGTTAATATTAATGCGATTGTGAATTTATATTGGAATCAGGGTAAGTTAATTTTTTTCAATTCACCAATTTAATTTTCAAAATTATTAGATTAATCTTTTTAACAAAAATTGTTCAAGTGTTAAGGTAAAGTAGCACCGTCTAAATTAAAGACTTTTAAATTGTAGGACGTTATTTCGCGTTTTTTCGATTATTAAACTAAATATGGTTTATCAATCAAAATACCATTTGTTTAATGTGAAATATTAATTATTATTTCGACAATTACAGAATTCGTATCGTTGACGTTAATATGCTTAAAAATGATATAATAATTTTTATACTTAATTTAATTTGAAATGAAATTATTTCGACTTTGAAAACAATTGAGTTTTATTTTTCAAATGTTTATCCTTGTTATTTAAAATGTGATAAATTCGTTTATTTTATTAATTAAAGATTTTAACTATTTTAAATATTCTAAAAGCTTTAGAATTTGTACTATTCCAAACATAATTTAATTCAGTAAAATAATGCATTGAAATCATCAACAATCTATATAAATATTCAAGTAAATTAAAAGAGAAAATAAAAGCTCATGATATCATATACTTAATTTTTCAATTACTTGTAAAATAATCAATGATCGATTTGATATTTTTATTTCCATGGGGATATTCTAAAAAAATTTTAGTAATTAATAACCTAACACAATTTAAATAAAACATCTTTGAATTTATTAACTTACAAATGTTCATTTGGAATAAATTAAAAGTAGTTCAACTTGTATCAATAATATTGTTCCATAACCATAACAAATAAAATTTTGTAAACAACCAGCAATTTAATATTCTATAATACATCACAATTATAGAATTGACAAATTTTTAAAATACTATTTAACACGTGAATGCTATAGCATTCAATCTTATTGTGCTGCAGATTAACATTAATACTATAGCATTTAAATTTTAATATCAATTATTTTGAATTAAATTTCTTGTAATCTTACGTTTTTGTAATTATTACACCTGTTGAGATAATGACTAATTGATTCTTTAGGTATATTCATATCTCATCTTTTTCATAGTCACAAATAAAAGCGTAATACTTGACGTGGATGCTATAGCATTCTTTGTATATAACAATAAATACAATAACATTATGATAATCTGACTACCCTTATTAACGGTAAACTATTATATATCAAATATAATAATATTTATACTCAAGCTCTTTAAAACTAATTGGTCTTCATGACAAATATATATCCTAAAGGTCAACATTGTCATCAATAATGCCATCGAATAATTGGTCGCTGATGAATATCATATATTGTATTTTCAAAACAAACAATCATCAATTTGATATTTTCATTGCATCACTCCACAGTGATTGGATTATTGTTTTTTCCCAACAAATTCAGTTAAAACTTTTATTAAAAAATTGACGCGCAAAACTCATTTGTGTATCATCTATATAATAGCGCGCATATTCACAAATACATTGGGAGGATTTCGAACACGTGCCCACGCATAATATGCGTATCAAAACATAATAATAATTATTAATTTTAATAATAAGATTTGATTTTTCTATGATAATATTCAAAATGGAACTTTAGGATTTTCCTTACCCTTGGTGATACGTCGTGATAGTTAGAATTACACCTCTTCCTTCACCATACTTTCCAAACAAATTTTTCGAATTTACGAAAAACGTAAAATGTTTGTTTTCACTTTTGGAAATTTAGGTAATAAATACACGTGATATTTTACTAGACCCATCCACCCCCCACGTGATTTTTTGTGATTTTTTCGTGTCAAACTCCCCTTCCCCTAAAAGCTTCATGTGACTAATAAGTATATTCTATAACGTGATCAAATAAAAAACTATATACACCAAACGAAAATCACTATAAAATGCCCTTTTGTGTCAGTTTCTATAAAAAATAAATATAATAAAAGAAAAATAAATATTAATATATTTAATATCAAACACATTTAATAAATTATAAGAATATTAATTTATTTTATTAATATTATTTTATTATTTGCTCATCTTGAATAAATTTACGCTAT